CGTCGACGAGGAAACAAAGAGGAGGCGACAGCGTTCCCCGATTGATATTTAATTCCAGAGAGGAGGGCTCGCGTGACAGGATGAGGAGAACACGGGTCAAAGAAAGTCGCGGTCTACGAGCATGTCTCCATGCTAATTTACGATTAATATCCGCGAATGAATGGAATATTTATTCATCTTGCTCGAGGAATAATGATACGTATTTTGAATTTTGAATATATATATATTTTGAATTCTCTTCTCGAGAACGATTGGAAACACATATTTTTTTCGATAATTTCGTAAATAGCGACGGATGGGGAAAATTTTGGGGAAAATTTTGGGAAATTTTGATCGGTTGGAATATTTTACGGATATATTCGATAATTTATTGCTCAACGTAACGATAATCGGAAATAAGCGGCGGAAAGCAAATTTATTCGAAATTCTGTAACTTAAAGTTATTTTTCCTATCGCGATTTCCTTCTCCTGGGGGGGAGGGACGACTCTGGGTGGTCCGTCGAGGAATCGCAAGAGGTACAAAGGCATCGGTGCGCTCGATGAAACAATGGATCGAAGATATCCGGAATCGTCTCACGGTTCGATCCGAACTCGAGCCGAAAATAAAAAGAAGAAGCGGTCGTTTTTATCTAGCCTCCGCTCAATTAGAGGGGCGCGCTTTCATCCGTTAGGGCTTGGGCCGTGCCGCCCGCCTAACTATGCGACAGTCGAGACTTAAAAGCCTCGTTTGGACAGGTTTTCTGGAATTCTTTCCGACGGGCCACCTTCTCGACGCCCCCGCGGCCCCCTCCTCCCCCACTTCGCTCCCAAACTTCTCCACCGCCGCTTTTCTCCACCGGCGCACCCGCGCGACTCGTCTTCCTCAACCAAAGTTTATGAATTCAGAAGAAGCAAGTAAAGAGTCGATGCGGCTAACGGTCATCCTTTTTTTACCGTTTCACGGCTCGAACTGACGGTCGATGGGACCGGGAAAATTCGTTTCCTTCCTTCGTTCCACGTTTCGAGAAGCCGTTTCTTCCTCTCTTGGTTCGAGGAGAGCAAGGAGAGGTGATTTGATTTGGATTGGAAGATGATCGATCGGTTCTAAATCTACATCAGAGGATAATTGTTGATGAATACCGCATCTACAGACGCGTCTGGAGAGATTGGCGCCACATGGTTTACAGAGGGGAACTCTTACGGCGAATCGAGCTCGTCGATCTCTCGTTAGATTAAGAGTAAGTGATGATGAAAATAGTAAGTTTGGAGAGTTTCGTTTTTCACCGGTTTCGTGAAAAAGATATCGTATCTCTAATTCGAAATCGATCCTCTTACGAATTTTTCCCAAGATTTATGAAAATATACCACGATTAAGATCATCTTAAGAGCAAGCTATAAACATATTTCTTTATTTCTTTTTTTTCTTTCTGATTAAAAAATAGTAAATAAAAAATATGGCATCTCCAATTCCAAATCGATCCTCTTACGAATTTTTATCTTATTTCGTAAAATACGATTTTCTTCCCTATCTCAATAATTGCACCTTTTTGATTTCCATCCTCAATCGCGTTAAACAATCTAATAGATTTCTCGATTTTAATTATTTTCCGTTTCTATCTCGTAAGGCACGATTAAGACAAGCTACAAACACATTTCTTTCCTTTCTTTTTTCTTTGTGATTAAAAAATAGTAAATAAAAAATATGGCATCTCCAATTCCAAATTGATCCTGTTACGAATTTTTCCCAAGATTTATGAAAATGTATCACGATTAAGATCTTAAGAGCAAGCTACAAACATGTTTCTTTCCTTTTTTTTTCTTTCTGATTAAAAAATAATAAAGAATAAATATAAAAATATCGCATTTTCAATTCCAAATCGATCCTCTTAAATTTTTGCCAAGATTTATGAAAATGTACCACGATTAAGACCATCTTAAGAGCAAGTTACAAACACGTTTTTTTCCTTCTTTTTTCTTTCTGATTAAAAAATAGTAAATAATAAATATAAAAATATGGCATCTCCAATTCCAAATCGATCCTCTTATGAATTTTTCCCAAGATTTATGAAAATGTACTACAATTAAGACCATCTTAAGAAAAAGCTACAAACACGTTTTTCCCTTTTTCTTTCTAATTAAAAAATAGTAAATAAAAAATATAAAAATATGGCATCTCTAATTCCAAATCGATCCTCTTACGAATTTTTCCCAAGATTTATGAAAATGTACCACGATTAAGACCATCTTAAGAGCAAACTACAAACACGTTTCTTTCCTTCTTTTTTCTTTCTGATTAAAAAATAGTAAATAAAAAATATGGCATCCCCAATTCCAAATCGATCCTCTTACGAATTTTTATCTTATCTCGTAAAACACGATTTTCTTCCCTATCTCAAGAATTGCACCTTCTTGATTTCCATCCTCAATCGCGTTAAACAATCCAATAGATTTCTCGATTTTAATTATTTTCCGTTTCTATTATTTCCTCAGGCCGAATAAGCTGTTTGTCGCGTCCATAACAAGGCTTCTGTTTTCTCGACCCGGTGCAATATTACGTAACGTTAGCTTTTCACGTCGTCGTGGCTGCGCAAAGTATGTCAGAGATGCGTCTAATTTTAAATCTTGCCCGCTGTATCCTCGAATTACGCGCAAATAAGAAGTCGCCTGTTTCCACGCGGTGTGCATCATATCGAGTGTGCAGCCAAGTTGAGAAGATCTCGAAGAAGCTCGTAAATCGGCGAGCGAGTGGCTCGCATCAACAACGTTATTTATCCCTGCCTTTTCTATTTGGTGTATTAAGTGGGAGGGGGAAAAAAACGAGGGCAGAGGGAAAACAGACGCGATGCTCGATTATTTCTCTCGAGTTCGGTCCTGCTACATTCTTCGTTCCAGCTGCGAGTCGAGATATCATCAACCAACCACCACCAACGTTTATTTCTCTCTCTC